CAGGTTTCTTGCTCGAGGAATGGAATGGGTGGTGGTGTTTTACCAGATCTAGGAAAAGTAGGGGAGGTGGGTTTGTGAACAAGAAGAGTTCTATTTTGATCATGTCGATTTGGGGTGCCTGTGGTATATCTGGGTGGGACTGCACAGAAGGTTGGTGGAAATACTCAAGAGAGATGTGGGCAGGGAATGAAAATGTGAGTCACTGGATGACATCATAGGGAGAAACTGTAGAGAAGGGTGCACAAAGGGATTTGAGGGGTGGTCAACTAGACTTACAGTATCTTAGAAACTGGAGGGCCCCAGAGAGGTCTAGAACAGCTTATATATATAATTTATTTTGAGAGAGAGAGAGAAAGAGCACACATGAGTGGGGAGGGGCAGAGGGAGAGAGAATCCCAAGCAGGCTCTGCGCTGCAGCACAGAGCTGGATGCAGAGCTCAATCTGGCAAGTCACGAGATCAGGACCTGAACTGAAATCAAGTCATACGCTTAACTGAGCCACCCAGGCCCCCCTAGGACAGTTTTTTTTAAGTTGACTATTTTAATATAATTTATTGTCAAGTTGGCTAACATTCAGTGTGTACAGTGTGCTCTTGGTTTTGGGGGTAGATTCCCATGGTTCATCACTTACATACAACACGCAGTGCTCATCCTAAGTGCCCTCCTCAATGCCCATCACCCATTTTCCCCTCTCCTCCACCCTCCCATCAACCCTCAATTTGTTCTCTGTATTTAAGAGTCTATGGTTTGCCTCCCTCCCTCCGTTTCTATTTTTTTTCCCCCTTCCCTTCTCCCATGGTCTTCTGTTAAGTTTCTCAAGTTGAACAGCTTTTAAAAGAAGGGAATAGAGTCTTACCTCACGCTGTATACAAAAAATGAACTCAAAGTGTTTTAAGACTTCAATAGAAGAGCTAAAATTATTTAAAACTCTTAGAAGACACAGGTTTAAATAGTCTTTATGACCCTGGACTGGGCAACAGATTTAGATAGCACATCAAAGCACAAGCAATAAAAATTTAAGTAAACTGGACTTCACCAAAACTAAAAACTGCTTTGTGTCAAATAACACTATCAAGTAAGTGAAGAAAATGCACAGAATGGGAGAAAACACTTGTAAATTGTGACTCTGGTAAGAATCTAGTATCCAGAGTATATAAAGGGGCTCCTGGCTGGCTCAATTCGTAGAGCGTGTGCCTCTCAATCATGGGATCACGAGTTCAAGCCCCATGCTGGGCGTAAAGTTTACTTAAAAAAAAGGTGGGGGTGGGGGACATGGGCACCTGAGTGGCTCAGTTGGTTAAGTGTCTGACTCTTGATCTCGGTTCAGGTCATGATTTCTTGGCTACAGTTCATGAGATCGAGCCCCATGCTGGGCTCTGCACTGACAGCACAGAACCTGCTTGGGATTCTCCCTCCCTCTCTGCCTCTCCCCAGCTCATGTGCACATGCTCTCTCAACATAAATACACATTTAGGAAAAAAAAAAAAAAAGGCAGAGGATTTGAACACTTAAAGTTAACAAATGTCCAATAAACATGGGAAAATGCCCAACATCTTACGATTAGGAAGATAAAAACCAAGAGGTGCCTGGGTGGCTCAGTTAAGCATCTGACTCTTGGGTTTCAGCTCGGGTTATGATCTCACAGTTTTGGGAGTTTGAGCCCCACATTGGGCTCTGCTCTGGCAGCACAGAGTCCGCTTGGGATTGTCTCTCCCTCCCCTACTTGTACCATATCTCTATCTTTCATGGAATAAACTTAAAAAAAAAAAAGGAAAATGCAAATCAATGCCACACCAAAATATCACTTCATACCCACCCTGATGCCTATAATTAAAAAAAGATGGGAAAATATGTGATGAGGATGTGGAGAAATTGGAACCCTCCTACATTGCCGGTGGGAATGTAAAATGGTGAAGCTGCTATGCGAAAGTGGTCTGGCCATTCCTCAAAAAATTAGAGATTCAACCCAGCATTTCTACTCCAAGGTATAAGCCTGAAAGAACTGAAAACACAGGTCCACACAAAAATCTGTACACAATACAGTAGTATTCATAATAGCCCTAATGTGGAAACAACCCAAATGTTTGTCAACTGATCAACGAATGTATGAAATATGGGACAGGTTTTCCCCGCTACCCAAAAGTAGAGCATTCCAGTGAAACCTTTCCTAAGCCAAATGGTACAAAGTGAAGCAATTACCATTAATTATTAGGGAAACATTTTTGAGCTTTCCCAGACCCCAAAAATGTCAGGCTCTTCTGAGACCTTAGGATACTCTCGGTAATGGAAAACACAGGATAAGTGGAGGTAAAGCAGAGATACACACACACTTTAAAGCTTAGTACAGTGGTTTGATGCAGAGTGTAATTCCTGGGGAAGGGGCCTTGCAGGGCCACCCCGGCTGCTCCGGGTGAGTGCTGCCTGGAGATGTGCTCATGACAAAACCAACAGCGAACACTGGATTTCCGTTTTGCCTTTCTTTTTAGGTCTTTTGTGAAAGCAAAGTGGCATACTGTGAACTTTTAAAAAGTGGGAGATAGATCCGTAAAGTAAGGTTATCTGACAAGTAGAACGAAGAGCACTCTGTAGCTCAGATGAACCTTAACTACCCCATGCTAGGGCACCTGTCACAGGATGACACATTCTAGGATTCCCTGTAGAAGAAAGGTCCAGAAGGGGGGAATGGGGAGTGACTGTGAAGCACGGGGTTTCTTTTTCGAGTGATGAATATTCTGGAATTAGTGCTGATTGTTGCACAGCCTTGTGAATATCCTAAAAACCACTGAATTGTGTGCTTTAAAGTGGTGAGTTTTTAATGTGGATTCTATCTCCACTTTGGACTTGTGCTCAGCAGATGCTGCAGTGAAGCCAGGCCAGGGGGTGCTTGGAGACCGTGGGACCCCAGCACAGCAGCGGCCGTCCACTCACTCACTGCACCTGCCCTCTTCCATCATCTACCCCTCCCCTATTTAAGTCCAGGGACTGGCTGCATCCTAAACAGATTGTGGCTTCACCTTTCTTGCCATGATTGGTTTGGGAGTAGGCAGGCCATCCAGTTCTGCCCAAAGAAACTCAGGTTGCCGAGGGGCTTCTGGGAAATAATTCAGGATTTTCAGGACAAACAGGTCTTCTGCCTCTGGATACTGGAGTGTCAAGTTGAGGCCCAGAGCAGCTGCCTTGGGAGGTGAGGTGGTTGGACAATGTACTGAGGGCAACAGGGCAGAAAAATTGGAAATAACCAGCTGGGTCCTTAGAACCACCCCACCTCAGGACTTCTCATAGGGAGACAGATCTTCCTCCAGTTGGAAGTCATTTTATTTTACTTAAAAGTCCAAAGCATCTATCCTAATACAGGTTATGGTGACTGTTCCCCACAGATGGGATAAAAGCTTGGGGATGGGGCCAGAGGGAGATGTGGCCATCTTATTATCGCACTGTGATCAAACTTAGTTCAGGTCAAGGCTGGCACTGAGCATGGTATTGTGGCGGTCTAAAATACCCTTACCATGTTTCCAAGCCTGGTGTCTTGGTTTCTAAGCCCAAGTACTCTCACGGTCCATAACTAGTCGAGTCGAGTCAGCCAAGTGTATCCCATGAAGGAAAAATAAAGCTCAAGCTCGCTCTACTCATCCTAATTTCTAGGTAGCAAAAATAGAGGGTTACTACTGGGTTTAACTTCAGCCAGTCACTCCACATCTGTTTTAACTAGAAGATGGGGGTTAAGACCTATACAAGATTAACACAAAGACTGTTAAGTAAGAGTATCTGGCTGAGCTCCTAGCATGGTCTATAGCTCAACACATTTTATTGCATATGAAATCCTACAAATATTGATTACAGGAACCCCAATTGTGGCTTTCTCAAATTCTGCAACTTCTACTCAAAGACCAAGCTGTTGTACCCCTAATAGTAGTCACGTTCCACCCTGGAAGACAACACCTCCCGAATAAGAATTAGGAATCTATAACCTAGAACTATTTAAGCAATAAAGAAAGCAAGTGGCTGCAAATTGCCCAGGTGGACAAATTTTACTTTATCCAAAAGATGCCTCCAAAAAGAAGTCAGAAGTTATTTTTAAATAAAGCTGGGGGGTTGAATCCAGATTTTGGCTACTCGCTCTATGTACACAGAACCCTGAACACGTTTCTTCACCCGAGCTCATTTCCTCACTCATAAAAGGAGTGTTAACACTTGCATTACACAAGCATCCCGAGACCGACGACTGGAGGTAATACACAAAAAATTCACCAAGGAAGAGCTTAATAGGATAGCTCTACTCTTTTGACTGAGGGGATACACAAAGCAATCTAAGACATTTTTTTACAGTCTCCAATTTACTTTATTTCCCCCAAATGATAGAGGTGACCTGTGAAAGTGAATTCAAACTGCAAGCAACAATTTATCTTCTTGCTAGGTCACCAAGAGGAAAGGGGTTCTCTGCAGGGTCGCTAAGCTGAAGCAATCAGAAAAGTCCTCATTAACATCTGTTTTTGGAGCTAGAGCAGTTCACCAGCAAGGACACGAATTTAAGAAGTCCCAGAAGACTTGCAGGTCCGTTTACGAACAGAGTGTCATGATCGGTCTTACACACCCAATGGCCAGCTGTGTATAGACACAGAAGCACTTTTCCCTGACACAAGGACTAGAGCCGGACCTATTCATTTTCTCATTCTAGAGACTTTAAATGTGAATGAAGTGGAAAGGCTCTTCTGCTGTCAGCTACCAGGCCACAACCTCTGCCCTATCCAAAACTCTGCCTTTAAAAATACGCTTCAGAAGCAAGTACAGAAATCACTCCTCTGCTCCCAGCCACTCACCCCCAGTCCACTGCAGGGAGTTTTCCTAACTCCACCTAACACTGTGCTCTCCACCTACAGACGGACTCAAAACCAGAAACGGCCATCCCTGACACCTCCACACCTCACACCAGAATGCATCCTGTCCCGAGAGACCTGGAGAAACCAGGCTCCCCCACTCCTGGGAAAAGATTAGAGGCAGCATTCCAAGCCAAACTGTATCCAGCTTTATTAAAGATACTTTTCATAAACAATCATGGTATTTCAGGCAGGACATGGGCAGACAATCGTTAACAGTATACAACAACTTTCAAACTCCCTTCTTCAATGGACTACCAAAATCAGAAAGCCACTATAAAACCCAATGAAATCTTCATTTGATGCTCTGAACAGGGAAAGTTTAGAGTGAGGGTTGACATTTCACATTTAGCATGTTGTTTAACAACTTTTCACAAGCCGACCCTGACTTTCAGGAAATGAAATGAAAATGGCAGAATTATCAATCTGAAGCTCCACAAGCTAAAAAAGGAACTCTTTTGAGGGATGCCATCTCCATGGTGACACTGTAAAGTCCAGATTGCCTGACATACTGGGAACCATTTCTTGGGGTCAGGTTCCAACAGGTCTCTGGGTTTAAGGGAGTCAAGTCTATGTTGAAGGCAGAGGGAGAAAAGGACATAAAAAATGAATTTTAGATTTTCCACCCTACAAGGCGTTTGTGCCAAGGTGGCTAATGTGTGTCAACATCAAGGAATTGCTCCTCCTGGGAACCAAGAGGAAGTTTCTCAGAACTAGAAGGGAATGGTGTTTTTCCCCTTGAATCAATCTAGCTTCGGAGATATTCTATTAGTGACATATGCCCTTCCCCCAAAACAACAATGAAGTGTTCTGTGTGCTAACAACATAGCTTAAAAAAAAAGTAAAACAAAATTCTGCATTTTTATAAAACTTGATAAAAAATAGTATTTCAAACTGTACAGTCACCAGAAGTACACAGTTATCAAAAATGCACACACTTCACTTGGCGTCTCCGGCACCTTCAGCTTTCTGTGCCTGGAAGAAAAAGATTAATACAACATTACCACCTGTAGATTGCAAAACTAGTTGCGTTCACATTCCATCCCTAGCATCACTTTGCTCCCAGGCCCAAGTTTGGGTCTAGATCCTTGGTTACCTTGGTAGGTAACTTTCCTTCTGGACCTTACTGTAAAATTGGGAAAGGGGGCACATTAGAAGACTGGAGTTTATTCCCAGCTTGAAAACTCTACGGTGTAGCAGGAGCTTAGGACAAGGATCTCACACTACAGTGCCCTTTATTGGACCGCAAAGGTTTTAAGAGTCCAGAATTTAAGTTAAGAGAAAAACCACAAGCGAACTCTGGACTGAAAACCATACTTCAAGTGAGAGACACAGAAGAAAGGCAATAAGAGCTTTTGGGATCACTAACGGATTCAGAGCAGACTTAACAAAAAGTGAAACGGCAGTCGTACCTGGTCTGTTTTGGCATCTCCATTCTCTGCTGGGTTATTCCCATCCTTGCCAGCATCAGCTTTCCCCTTTTTCCCTTTGGGTACCTTCTCTCCCTTCTAAAAAGGGGAGGGAGAAAAAAAAAAAGCAGTTTCTTCTAACTTCCTATTAGCAGGGTATGGTCTGTAAAGTTCTGTTAAGTAGTAGGATTATTTATCAAAAGATAAAACACACACACACACACACCCTATAAACCCCTCCGCACTGGGAAGGCCAAATTATCTATCACTTACTGTGGTCTTTAAGTATATGTGTCTTTATGTGGATGTAAAAGATAACTAAGCAAATAAAAATACTTGGGTTTCAAATGTACAATTTCCTCTAAATGGAGGACATTCTCCCTGACTCTTGTTGTTTACATATTTTTATTCTGATAAGAGTTCTTGATTAGAAAACATTACAAATGTCAGGAATAAGGTAAGCTAGCCAAACAATTTAGAAGATCCATTAATGGGGTGTCACCATGATGCTGAATTAAGACACTGAAGGACAGACCTCACTTGGTGAAATGATCAATTCCAACGTTTTTTATTTAAAAAAAAAAAAAAAATATTTTGAGAGCGGAAGAGATCACGAGAAGGGGAGAGTGGGGAGAGAGAGACAGACAGAATCCCAAGCAGGCTCCACACTGTCAGCGCAGAGCCTGACGCGGGGCTCCATCTCCTGACTGTGAGATAGTGACCTGAGCCGAAATCAAGAGTCAGGCGCTGAACCGAATGAGCCACCGAGACCGCCCCCCAACATAATTTTAATGCCCAGTCCAAATTAACTTTCTCACAGCTCAGGTTTGTGCCAAAGGGGACGCTGTTCTACAGCAGTACTCCCGTCAGCAACATGGGAAACTGCACAGCGTTCTGCAACACCTAGAAGCATCTGGTGTCTCCGCTCCACTTACCTTTGCAGGGGCCTTTTTAGGTTTGGGCTCTGGCTTTGGAGGAGCAGGTTTCTTTTATTTCGGAAAAAGAAGACGACACTATTAGTATGGTGGACCCAAGAGACAACCCATCCCCAAACCACGGTACCACTGGCACAGAAGTTTCTCTTATTTCGTAAAGTTTTTCAGGCTGGCTTTCAGTTGGAATATCTGGTCTTCAGAAACCCACTTAACTAACACACGCAGGTGTCCGGCTCTCGCTACAGCCATCAGCATTTCAGAACCAGCAAATGTATCAAATGGGTGAGCGTCCACAATAGAGCGGATCATTCACAACCAGCCACTGACCCAAACCCATGGGACACAAAAGGAGATTGTTCTTAGTACTTTTTTAGTTTCAGGTATAAACACGATAATTTAACAGCAGACACTTACAGCAGATAACCTTGCAGATCTTCTCTGTGGCTATTAAGATAACGAAAATAAAAAAAATTAGAAATAGGGCAGTTGAACCACTCAAGAAAAATTATTAAAATTAAAAAATCCGTTTGTTCTAGATGACAGAAGCGGAGGGAGCTTAGGGTAATTCAGCACTAGGGGTATGGTTAAGCAAAGGAGCCCAAAGGCTTTGTTAAGACTCCAGAAGAGAGACGAAGAAAGACTTACCTCATCCTTCACCTTGGCTTTATCTCCTTTAGCATCCCCTTCAGCCTATAAAAAACAAACAAGACCTAAGAAAGTTGTAGCTTCTGAGGCCATTCTTAAAGGACTCACTAAGCTTAATTATCCCAAGGGAAAGAACTGAAGGGAAAGCCTTGCGCACAACTTCTCTAGGACACGCAAATCTTCCGGTTTTAGCATCCCCAGTCCCGTGACGATGCCCGAAGTGCTCCGAGAGCGGACTGCTCTTCTGTGTAGGCGTCGCGCCCGAAGTGGCCCAGAGAGCGCAGGGACAGCGGGTCCCCGGGCCCCAGCCTGCCCAGCGTCTCCGTCGAGCCGCCCGGGGCGGCGCGCGCTAAACTGGAGCGAGAAGCGCGGACCAGCGCGGCCCGCGCCGCCGCGCCAGGGAGAAGCAACAGCTGCAGATGGTGCAAACAAACCCCTCCGGAGGCGGGGCCCGGGCGCCGTTACCATAGCAGCCGTCGAGGGCGGGAGACTGGAGGCGCGCGCAGCCGGGGGAACTCGTGGGCGGCAGCGGCGCGCACCGGCGCGAGTCTCGTGCGCCGGGGCCGTGGGCGGAGGCGGGGCCACACTGCGAAGCCCCGCCCCAAGGGACATGGGCCCCGCCCCCCTCACGGCGGCGGTTTTTTGGCGGCAGCGCGCTCCCCCGCCCGCCAAACCCGAGCGCCGCCTTCCCGCCCTTTCGGGTTTGAATTGCCCGCCCGCGGGGAGGGGAGGGGGCATGGCGATGGGGGAGGGGGCGCGGGGCGGGCACGTCGATCCCGAGGGGAGTGGGATAAACAGCCGCCAACATGGCTCCTCCCGCCGCGGCCGCCGCTCCTCCAATATGGCCTCTGGCGCCCGCGGGCAGCCGAGCCGCGCAGGGTTAGCCCGGGGCAGCCTGACACCGTCTCGAGCTCCTGTGTAGGGCGCCTGAGCCTGTCCCGGCCCGGTGCCGATCCTCGCGCCCCAAAGCCGGGGAAGCGGCAGCGGCGGCAGCAGCGGTGGTGGCGGCGGCAGTGGCGGCCCAGCGCCTGAGGGCCCTCGCGCCACGTACCTTTCTCTTGGGCATGGTGGCGACGGCGGCGGGACGTAGGCGCTGGACGCGGGGATGCAGCGGCGCGCGGGCTTTGGCCGGTCCGGGGGTCGTTCTCGCCTCCTCTTCTTCACACTGCTCGGGCTCCGGGGGGTTTATAAAGTTTTTATAGCGCTGGGAGCCCCGGACCGGTTAGAACCGGATTTCACCTCCCGCCGCCGCTCATTGGCCCAGCTGGGGTCACGTGGGCGGGGTTTAAACTCACCTCCTCTGGAGGGAGTGAGGAGGGGGGTACGGGGGGGGGGAGGGCGCGCGAGACGGCGGCGCGCCTAGGGGGTGGGGGCGCAGTGGGGGAGGCGCGCGTCGAAGGCAATAAACGAGGAGGGGGGGAGTGTGTGCGAGTCGGCGGGCTCTGCGTTTCGGCTCCCGCCAAGAGCTGGCTCTTGCAAACTACCAAGTTCCTTCCACCTTATGCAACCAAGCTACCCACTTCTCCAAGCCATGCGACACTTAGGGCGCATCTCGGCCGCTTTCCTTCCTGTTCCCGCTGGGGGCCCCAGAAGAAGGGTTCTCGAGGCCTGGCCGCACCACCCTTCTCCGCCGGAGGCGGGAGGAAGCGCGCGGCTTGGAGGCACAGGCTGCAATTCCCAGGGCCAAGGCTGACGCTGAAGTGGGGAAAGAGCGGGGAAGCCAGCTTGGCGCAGCCGGACGTGCATCCTTCCAAGCTGCCACTCCAAGGAATCCCTTCGTGCTCCTCACCTGGAAGGCGGTCCACTCGAGGTGGGGTGGGGGTCCGAGGGGGAGACTTGACACGCCGAGGTCCCTTTCGGGCGCAGTGGGGCAGGTAGGAGCTGTCCTTTCAGCACCCGTTTCTCAGCCGCCTCCCCAAATGCCAAGGAAGCCCCCCCACCCCGAAGCCTGTCGGGTGGCTCCTTTAGGTCCCTGTGTTCGCGGACCTCAAGACCCCGCCACAGAATGACGGAAAGCAGCCGCCTAGGCCTACCAGCACTCCCCTCCCCCTATGCTCCACCCGCTCCGGAGACATCAAGCTCAGCTGCCCCCACCCGACGCGGCCACCAAGCCTGGGCGCTGCAAACACAGCTGGCGAAATCCCTCCTTCCACACTGGCAGGCTGGCTTCCTCTCACTTGCGCGAGGACAAGGAGGGTGGAGGAGAGAGTCCGGGGATTAGGAAACAAGTAGAGGAACAGGTGTTGCGATGGCAAAGGGCTCTTCCACTGGCTCCCCCACCCCATGCGCCCCCAAAGCTGAGGATTCTGGAGGTCGCCAAGCGCACCTGCGAGAGGGCAGGCCATTGCAGCCGCAAAACAAGGTGTTCCCTCTGCTGTACTATTTGTAAACAAGTTATACATCTAAGAATTTTTAAAATTCTATTTGAAACCCAGGAGAACACGAGAACACAATAAATATCCTCAAGTGGGGGATTGGCTCACAGGTGAGACATTTAAATAGGTCCCACTTAGTTTCTTGAGGCAAAGGATGAGCCGGTTTGTACAAATCCTACCGGTAGAAAACAATCACAATGAGTTCATATCAACTGTTTGCAGCCCCTGCTCCTTGGCAGTGGTGATCCCTCCACCCCTACCCATCCCACTCTGTGTATCTTTCTCAGAATACAGGACCTAAGGCCAAAGAGATACCAGCTCCGTTAATCATCTGTACCCCATTCATATTGGGGCAAGTCAGACACAGAACGGAGACAGGACTCAATAGCCATGCTCACTGGGCAGATTCCGTTTGTTGCCTCCAGCCCCTCATTCCCGCCTTAATTGTAGGGCTCTGCATTATAGCCGCATAATTCATGCCTCCCTAATTAAGGCTGTCAACAGCCCCATTGTAAAGCTGGAAAATGTACAGCACCTGCTCTCTGGGAACCCTGTGCCAGGGATTGGTTGTGGGGAATGCCAGGTGTGTGTGGGGGGCTTGCCAAAGGGTGCATTGATTGGCTTCTCAATCGCAGTGTCTGGCATTTGTTTGATTCTGGGAGCAGGGATGATGGCCAAGGGGTCTCTTGTGCCAGGTATACTGGCACAGGAAGGGGAAGAGGAGACTGGAATACAGGGCAGTGGGGGGTTAAAGACTTTGCTCTGAGCACTGCTTGCAAGACCCCACCTCTCCCCTAGAGGGAGGTGCTGGGGAAACAGTTCGCAGAAAGTGAAATGGGAAGGCTAAACGGAGTGGTGTTTGGTCGGTGTTAAAGGCTGGTGCTTGCTGCTCCAGGCACCTGAAGCAGAGTTGCTCAGGCAGACAGCTCTTCAAAGGCACTAATCCTCTCAGCAGCTCCGAAGCAAGGCCTGGCAGGGAGAGGACACAGCCCTTGACTTGGCCTTCTCCCTGCTGGGCAGCCCTGGCCCTAACAAGCTGAGACTCTGCCACACGGAGAATAAATCGTCTCGGGGGGACTTAAGGGGCCAGGTCCAAAACAGAGAAGCCTCAAAGGCTGAGGCGGTGGGAAGCAGAGTCTGGGATGGTGAGGACAGGCGTCAGTCAGTTGGGAGAAGTGCTTGTTCCTTTGCTCCGGGTCCTGTGAGGTGTTCCGGGGAAGGAGGCCTGTGGTGGATTAGATTCACCAGGGCCTAGAGGCCCTCCTGTTACCCTGTGGCCATGAAGGGGGCTGGTCGCACAGGGGCGTGGAGCCTGGCCCCGTGCCCTGCAAGAGGAGGAGAAAAGCTTGTGTGGGCTGAGTCGACAATAGGTAATTGGATTGTAATCACCCGCCTGGCTTCTGCGCGCCATTGGGGGCGCTGAGCCTTTCAGTGAGCAATCAGCACTGTGTGGTGGGAGGGGGTAGAGATTCAATAGCAAATCCCAGGTGGAGAGCCCAGGGGGAGGAGCAGCAGATGGGCAAATTTTCTTTCTGTCTCTCCCTCCCCTCCCTTGCCCAAATAACGCTGGCTGCCTATTAGCTATTTACCAGCAGATCCAAGGTGGGGCCAAATCTTTTGTGAAAGTCGGGTGGAAGGCTAAGATGGATGGGTAAAGGGCCAGGGTTTTGGGGAGACCTCCTCCCTGAAATTCTGTTATGTTGAAGGATGTGCTGGTGGAAAAGTGAAATGCATCTAGAACACAGGTAGAGGTGGTAGAGGTGGCAGAGGCGGAAGGAGAGGGCAGCGAAGAACTGGGGCTCCCTGCTCTCCAAAGCTACAGGTGACCAGAGCTGGGTTTAGTGTACTTGTGGGAGGCCATCCCCTCAGTCCTCCCCAGGGGCCACTGTCCCGGGCGGCCCAGAAGGTGTATCTCTGGCCAGCAGACCTGGCCTCTGGGGCTCCCTTGCAAAGTAAAGGAAACACAGTTCATCCTTAGGAAGGAGGTGCCTTTCACCAAGAAAAGAAAGGGGAGTGGGGCCCTGGAGGCAGAGGGCAGGGCAAAGTGGCAGGAGGCCAGCCCCACTCAGGCTGATGCAGTGCCCAGACGTGCCAGCCAGTCAGCCCGCTTGAGTTCCAAGGCCTGCAGGAAGCCTTGGACCCGCTCTTCCCGTCTGGCTGAGAGTTTGTGCAAGCGTGTCCGTCGGAGCTGGGTGTCCCCACTGGCCTGGAGCCCCTCTTGCAACAGCTGCTCTGTCACTGCGGCCTGGTCCCTCTCCAGCTGCTGCCTCTTCCGCTCCTCTGCATACATGTCTCGGGCCTTCTGCTAGAGGAAAAGCAGGGATTGGGAGATCATTTTTTAGGTGTGAGTGAACTGGGATGGAGGAGGTAGGGGGTGGGGCACCAGGCGGGCCAAGCTAAGTGGAACAATGGGGAGTTTGTACCAGATTTGGAAAAGCTTGGGAGTAGGTGTGCCGAGGTGGTGCCCGTGATGTATAAGCACGGCAGTTGGGGTTCTGGGTCCATCTTGGTTTGCTTTGGGTGGGAGCCTCTGTATTTCCTGAAATTCTTCTCAGGTTCACACTTGGAAGGGAACCAGGCAAATATGAGTCTGACTTCTGGTTCCCCCACAAACTAGCTTTGTGGCTTTGGGCAAATCCTCTCCTAACCTCATTTCTTCATCTATAAAGTGGGGGATGTGCCTACCTTGAAGAGTTTTAAGGATTAGCGATAATATATGCAAAACCCTCTCTAGCATATTAGCAGGCTCTCAAACAGAAACAGCAATTTCACAAGTTATTGTCTATTCTCTGCTGCTGGGAAGGCTCTATTCCTGCCTGGGGCAGGTCCGCTGGGTCATTTCCTTTGGCTTCCCAGGTCACTCTAAAGGTGCCGTCCTCCCAGCTCCCTAAGCTGTTTTTCAGAGTTTGGCTCCAAACTTACCTCCTGTATAGAGACTGGCCTGACTCTTACAGCAAATGATCCTCCTATGAACACTGTGAGAAACGGGTTCAGCTCTCTTAAGCCACTTGCTGTTTTCTGCCTAGTAGAATAGGTTTTAGTGTCCATAGTCCATTTTTTTGTTAGAAACTCAGCACTTGAAGGCTCGGCAGAGCACCCTGGACTCCTGGAACCAACTCTCACACAGGTGATCGTGCTCCCTGGCAGCACTTCTCATATGTTCATGTATCTTCAGACAAACTCCTAAAAGGCAGAGACTGTGTGGCTTTTCCTCTCCGGCACTTGGGTGCCCTGTACTTGTGAAATACTTAATCGGCCGACCATATGATCCCAGGACGGCAGGGGAGATGCTCCCGGAGAGGGGAAAATCTCTTTGGAGCAGAACCAAGGCCTTGCTGCGCCTCACTGATGGGCTCTGCTCCTGCTGTCCTAACCGGCCGCAGCGCCTTTGCACCAGAGCTCCTTCTGCCAGACCTATTCCATGTGTGAGAAACTAGACTTTGCTGCCGACCTGGCATTTCATACCCTGATGACCCTTACCACAGTCTACCTTGTATTTCAGTATTTGTGTACCTGTCTGTGTCCTGCTCAGCCTGTAAACCTGGATTGCTCTGTCTTCCCCCTTTAAAGAATATCTTACATGTGCACAAGCACTTGACCCTCACACGGGAGCTACTTTTTATCTGCTGGAGATGGACCTGGAAGTTCAGAGTGGAGAAGTGATTTGCTAGAGTCTCTCAGCAATAAAGATTTACTGCATGAATAAAGATGACAAGTGGAAATTCTGGAAAATCCCTCCCTAGGGTCCTGCATGAACCCAGGCATCCAAGGGTACTCTTCTGTTAGGGTGATGAACTCACACGTGGAGCTACAAAGACTAAAATGGGTTTGAGAAGTCGCTGTGAATGCCTCCCGTCTTGCTGGAAGGGCTTCT